TAATTGAATTTATTTTAAATTAGAAATTGAAAATTTAATACCTCGGTTAAATATCAACCGATTTTCAAACAAATAAAACACTAATTCAAATTCAAGTTATAACCACGAAGGTTCGAATTGAATAGTCACCCCATATTGGTGAAACGGGAGTTCATAGATTGTATTGAGAAACAATTTAATTAATTTTATGTCATTCCGCCGTTTTAGACTTTGAAATAACTGCCATTTTCGTAATCAACGTCCCAAAAAATCTAAATAACGACACCCATGTCGATTATTAGGTTTTTTTACCCCATTTCATCCCCTAAGGGTTTGATTTTCGTAAAATTATGAAAGACATATTTTCTTATTTATTTTTGGGAGTACTCCTACGAAGTTTCGAATCGAAATTTCTATTTAATATTGTTTCGCCATACAAATTTTGAACCACCATTTTACCCCTTTAGTGTTTGAATTTCGAAATATTATTCTTTATTCCTTGTATAAATAAAAAGAAACTCTGTGCAAAATTTCAGCTTTTTAAGTGCAAGGGTTTGGACTTGGACTTGTCCTTTTATATATTTATATAAAAATAACGTGTCACGTCGTTTGTCCGCGATGGACTCCTAAACTACTTAAGCGATTTTAACCAAACTTGCACACCGTGTGCAGTTTGGTCCAACTTGAGAGATTGGATTGTATTTGTTTTGCCCATGAGTGATCCACATTATTTTTTGGTGAATTTAAGGATTTTTAATAGGATGATGACATGACAGGGTCGTCGAAAAGGGCAGAACAACGTCTGCATGGCAAGCTAGTAATATATAAAACCTATCTCTACTTTTATCTACTTTTTGGTGTAAAATTTTTGAAGTGTTACTAATTATAACAATAATATACACATACTGGTACAAATAATATAGAAGTAGCTTTTAATAACATTTCTCATTCATTTTTCTTTTATACTTGTCGAGAAAATTTTGCTGCAAATTGTTGAGTTTTTCTCTGGATTCTAACCAACCCGCCCAATTAATCTTAACTATTTTTTCTTAATATAGAATACGGTGGGAATCTGTTTGACAAACGGCAAAATATAATAACATTCTTAAAAGGCAAACGATTAATTATAAATATGCATATATAAACATATATATATATATACACACATACAGATGGAGCTAAAGAAGTTTTATTTCAGTCGTGTGGTCGTTTTTTTAGTTTTCGTTTAGATTTTGTACTAAAATATTACAAAAAGCCATTAAATTTCCTATTTTTGTATTATTAATTAAACTTTATATAATAAATATAACATAACTATTATATATATATATATATATATATATATATATATATATATATATATATATATAATGAACTTGTGGCAGGAAATATCTAGCTATATCAATAGATTAAAGATTTTTATTACCCTTGACACTTATATTATTCTTCTTGAAAATATATTTTGGAATTTCGATAGTTATAGTTTAGACTAATAAATTATCGATATAAAATAGTATTGTCACGTAATGATTCGCGTTCGGCTCCTGCGTACGCAACAATTTTGTTTATTGCCAATACTATAAAGCCATCGCTGTTTTTATCTCTCGTACTCGTAGATATGAACTAGCTCAAGAATCAATGGATTTAGAAATGTGAAAACAATTACATTTTCGGAGACAATCGTAGTAGTGGGTGTGAATAATTTTATTAAAGTACATTTAATTAAAAACAACATTATTTGAAACACTTATTTATGAAATGTTATCCCTTTATTAGAAAATTTGCGAGTTGTGGAAGAATGTCCGCAGTTGGATATGCTTCAAAACATCATTTTTACGTCTCTGCGTCCGAAACAAAACTAGTGACCGAAACAAACGCTCCTCTCGAACTTGTGACCTACGACTTACGAATCACATGTGCGGCGACAAGGTTACGCGCTTTTACGACTTCTATTGCCTTATTATTTAGATTTCTGTGACTGACACAATCACTTGTGAAATGGCGCTTGACGCGGAACAAGTGGACTAAATTTATTAATAAGGAAGATAAGTTCATTCTTTTTATATTCAATATTTCTAAAATTCCATTGTAGAATTGTGAATGTTGCTAGTTATTGAAGTAAACTGAGTAAGTTTTTGGCGTAAACTGTGGGGAAGTTCTGTGTCACTAAAACGGGAGATCATGTTAATTAACATTCACAGAAATTATCATTATTAGAAATGTTGTCATTCCTCAGTAAAGCATAACCACTAGGAATGGTAGAAGTAGGATTCAATTGCTTGATGAGCTGCAATATCATATCCAGAATTTAATGATTGACTGTAGATACGTTCAAGAACAAATTTTTTTTTAAATGATCTAGTTTGTAGAAGGGGTTGAAATACTATCAGTTATGGGATATGTTGTTGAGGATCTTCTTACCAGAGGAAATATAGCTAAGGCTTCTAAATACGAGATATTTGCTTGTTACATAACAAACTTAATAGATTTTTGCTTTAGATGTTCAGGGCAAGTAGGATCTTTTGCTGGGACCTGAGCAGAATAGACAAGTGGAAGTTTGCCTAGTACAAACTAGCCAGCCAAAGCAGCGAGGAGATGATCGGTACTGGAAGTGACATGTTCAAATCTGCAACATTTATGGCAATGGCAAAATGAATGAAAAAACATATTTTTCAATGGGCATAGAAGTGTAAAAGTAGTAAATATGGTGTGCAACTTTTTGTCCAGTAAGAGGTTGAATTATCGTTTAAGTTGGAACCCATAAAACGCTATTGCTGTCACTCACTGTTCGTCTATTAGGTCGGTGTGCTTTAATAAAGGACCGTATCCAGAGAGAATTTCTATAGCTGCTGTTAATTCTCCTTGTCTTCACTCTATGGAAACTTGTCTGACTAGTCCTATACGAGTGATACTATATAAGAGGATGGTTTTGGTTGCTTCATATTTGGAAGTCTGGAGAGCTGTGTGATCGATAAAAGTGTTTTCATCTGCTGCTGTTTTAAACTCAACCGATATCCTGTTTCGTCCAACTTTTTTGACTCCGTCACAAACTATATTTTTAATATTGTTATGATACAGAAAGTGACCGCATTTAATTGGTTTAAGAGTTTCTCTCATCTATAGTTTCTCCAGACAGTTGATCATTTGAGATTTTACTTACATTAACTAGAAAAGGCGCGGTATCGTCTTGCGAGTACTCAATCAGAATTGTATTGAAGAAAACTGTTGGTTTGGATCAGTAATAACTATTTATTGTGGATAGACCCGTTACGGTTAATTAGTCCTATATTATCAATATTAATGGGTTAGGAAAAGGAATCATTGCTAACTCTGTTGAGATTTTGTCGGGGGTTTGTTAAATGTTTAGAACAAAGATGATCATTTTATTTCAGACGCTTATTCGCAACATTTATGCTTTTAAGCCATAATTTTAGTCTAGGTTCAGTTGGAAAGCTGTTAATTAATAAATATTTATATGTATGATATGAGTAGGAAAGAACATCGATTAGTATTATAGACAACCCTATTGAATTTTATTATTTATCAAAACTCAGTAATATAAAGCCAAACATGTTGGTAGTTATGACATTAAGGTTAGTCACAAATTTTTAAGTACCTATATTATCAAATAGTTTTAATTTGTTTAATATTAGCTGCAAATTAACTTGTTGTGGAATGTTATACCACTTTTCTTTTAGTAACGAGTTTTACTGATTACGCATACTCTCATTAATATTAAAAATAATTCTTATTATGTAACTAAAATTATATACAATCAAAGCACATCTTTCGTTTTCGGTTTAAAAGTTCAAAATATAGAGACAAGATTTAAATAAGACAACAAACTTTGGCATATTATGTCAATTTTAGTTCCCAGGACGGCAAATAGTGGCGCTTATTGGCACAGAAATTTGGTATGGAAGTCAGTAACTCAAATGAATTCGATTTGATGGTCCTCTCAAATCTTAGAAATAACTTTTGACAGCTTTTACATTTATTGGACTAGGTATTCCCATAGACTTAGTGCCTTTTCATACGTAACGGTTGCCGGGTAGTCAGCGCCTGGTACCCGGCAATGAAGTTTATAGCCACGTAGTTAGCTTTAACACGTGCAGGCGTAATCTTCCAGCACGTAGCGGGCCCAGCACGTAACGTGGCAGACACCGCACAGACAACAGTATTCACATCTAGCTCACTCGGCATGAAAAGATGCCAACAGCTAAACTATAAAGTGCACGTGCTTACCATGTTCCGTAATTTCTTGATAGAAGAACTAGCCGTGTTTCGGTGCGGCAATCAAATTCATATTAGCCGCGCGACAACAAAAGACACGCGCAGACACGCACCAGCAAAACATTCTTGTTGAGAATGCTGGCCGGTACCGGCCGGTATCTGCGCGGACACGCTCCGCTTGCGTGCGCTAGATACGAATGTATCTATATAAAGTGTATAAAAGAGTATTATTTTGTCTGCCACGCCACGTATCTTGCATGCTCAATGTCCATAGATCTGAACGGAGCTTTATACAAGAGCAGCGAGCCGCTGCCGGTCAACTTCCCGCCAAAAATTACCAAAAATCCTATTTCATCACAGAGTACTTTGAGTTGCTGCAAGAAGAAAAAAAAGAAAAAACAAAAGAAAACATAGATAAATAAATATGTAGCAAGTGAGTAATCTGAAAGCGTCATATTAATCTGTGATTTCATGCGCTTGTCCACCATTTTGTAAAATAAATTGTGCGTTGTTTCCTGGTTGTTTCTTACCGCCTTGTTTTCATCTAACTGATAAATATTTAATATTCTAAAGGGGAAGTTTGACGATTCGTATATAGTAAACAGTTGTAAGTAATTTTCATTAGAAGGTAGATTAGATCAATTATATTGCAATTTCATGTTGACTGCTTCCAAGTAATACTGTACCGGCATTTTGTATAATTATTTTTTTACTTTGTACATTGTTCTACTTATGTGACTCGTATTTCATAAAGTTTTAAGATATCAGAATTATTTTTTCAGTTTATCATGGATAATCAAAGAGAGAAGGAACGGGATCGATCTAGGCGGGGAGACAGACCTTCACGTTTTTCTGACGCTATCCGTGACCGATCTGTTGACCGTGATCGTTCAGAAGGAAGGCGGCTATTTGTCTCAAACATTCCATATGAATATCGTTGGACCGATCTAAAAGATTTATTCAAAGAAAAAGTACGTATTATGTCTAAGGGTTCTAATAACTTCAGTATAGTTCGTTGTTTTAGGACTAGGTTGATCAATGTTTTTGGACACTCAATGAAACTAGGATAAATATATGTAAATTGTATATATTTTCCATCGTTATCGCCTGTTAAGCTAATAGACCTTGAATAGCATTTTGCAAGTTAATTCCCTTGCACAAAAAAGCTTAATCCTGGGACTCTAAAAAGGCCTCAACAGCACACCACCTTACATTTGCCATCGAATATTATACCACGTGCTTTTTCAGGTGAAAAAAGGGTAAAAGTCACTGAGCAAGGTCTGGAGAAAAATGTGGTTGCTTCATCAACTAAAACCCAGCAGTTCGAATGGCGTCGCCTGCAACATTGGATCGATAGGCAGGGGCATTGTCATGATGAAAAAGCACTCATCACGAAATTTTTCTCGATATTTCTTTAGTTCTTCATGTAGCTTTTTGATTAATGATGCATAATAATCTCTGGCTATTGTCTCTGATTTACTTAAATAGTCAATTATTATTGTGCCTTCCATATCCCAGAAGACAGAGGCCATTATTTTTCCAGTGAACATAGACACCTTGAAGCTCTTGTCTGGCGGGGTAGCCGGTCCAAGTTTTGTACACATGTTTCATATATGGTTGATATCTAATATCAAGCTCAAAAAAAATCTGGATCCTCTTCCATTCTTGCTTAGTTTAGCTTCGAAATGTAAACTCATGCTTTCTTTTGGGTGTCTGTTGACATTTGAGGAAAACCAGCACATTACTACCTTTATAAATTATAAAGTATGAGTTAAGTATACTGAATTGTCCTAAAGGAAAGCTTTAGAATCTCAGCTAAATAACAGATAGTCACATGTCGAGGTAAATCTTTCCAATATGGACCATCGATTTCAAAGCCCATATTTTTTTTGTAGATAGTACTCACTAAAAGAAAGCGTTTTGCAAAGTTTTAGGTTGCGGAAACTTACGGTTCATGAGATATATTTTTTTAAACTTTTCATACAAATTGGCAAATAACACGCAATTACACCAATTACAAAATGAATTTGACAAATCATTGATGTCAAACGTCAGTTAGTGTAGGGTTCCGAATATTTTGAAAGTATCGATACGTACTCGATACCAAGTATTGTATCAAAAGTATCAATACTACTTGGTATCGAGTAAATTTCGTTAATTTTGGACACTAGGGGGGGTAAGAAGCCGGAAAGTTGTGCTCCGTGGCAGCTCCGGCGCTGCGGGATGAGCAGTGCCTCCGCCCTAGCGTAGGGAAGCACAGGCACCAGCCTCAGCCGCTACGGCGATCTCGGTGCCTGCGCTTCCCTACGGCGGGCGGGCACTGCTCTCCCTCCGCGCCTCCGGGCTCTTATATACACTCTAGGGGTAGGGCAGACAAGACCACGTGGATAGTGGGGTGCTCTGATTCGGTTTTGGGTACTTTTTGAATATTAAATAAGTAAGTCAATAAGTAAGTAAACACTTTATTGTAGTAAGAATTAGATAATACAGAAAGTTGCAAACAATAAAATAAAAGTACAAAAGCTGTACTAATTAAGAAATACAAACAAGTTGCAAACAATAAAATACAAGTACTAAGGTGGAACTTAAGTAGAGTAAACTTTATTCTACTTTATATACATATATAATTGCACTTATCAGCTCTTCCTATGCATCTAATTGGTTTGTCATAATTTTTCGTCTCCAAAATTAACGAAATGTACTCGATACCAAGTACTATTGATACTTTTGATACGATACTTGGTATCGAGTAGGTATCGATACTTTCAAAATATTCAGAACCCTACACTAACTGACGTTTAACATCAATCATTTGTCAAATTTATTTTGTAATTGCGTGTTATTTACCAATTTGTATGAAAAGTTTAAAAAAATATATCTCATGAACCGTATGTTTCCGCAACCTAAAACTTTGCAAAACGCTTTCTTTTAGTGAGTACTATCTACAAAAAACATATGGGCTTTGAAATCGATGGTCCATATTGGAAAGATTAGCCCATGTCGATCTATTTTAACAATTTCTTCAATTTTTTCTAAAGTTTTCTTACATAGTGGCTGTTGGTGGCCCAGAGCAAGTATCGTAATTGCAAGTGGTTCTACCTCATTTGAATTTGGTGCACCAATGTGCTACTGTAGAATAAGATGGAGCATTATCTGCTAAAGTACACTGCACTTTCTTGTTCAAAAACACAGAAATTTTAAATTCTTTGCACCAATATGCCACTGTAGAGTAAGATGGAGCATTATCTGCCAAAGTAGACTGCAGTTTCTTGTTGAAAAATACTTTTTGTTAAGAAATTATTTAGGCAGAAATATTTAATAATTGCACAGTTTGAGTTTCTCTGTTTTGGATAAAAAACAAATTTCCATTAAATGAGAAGTTTGAAAATAAAATTGGGCAGTCTTTAATTTAGGTTTTTCGAAATTAAAAATTGAGCCCAATTTTTAAAATTCAAAATTTAATATTCAAAAACAATAGAATATATTTCTCTAACTCATTGATAAGTGTCCTATTCTGAAAACTTACTGTTATTAAAATGACTGGCATTTTCTATATATGTATGTATATTAATACACATATGTAATAACTACTATTATTGTTGTATTATGGATCATAATGATACATGTCAAGTTTTTGCTATTTATGAGATAAAGTTTTTTTAAATTTAATTTTAAACTGTTTTAAGCATTAAGACATATTACTGGTAAATAAATGTTATATATTTTTGGTAAATTATTATATTAAGTGTTGGATTTGGGACATGCTTTTGTCTCAATAATTAGCACATTTCTTTTGTTTCTTTATTTACATCTCTATACATATCTCTCTACATGGTTATAATCTTATGTAGTGCTTCTATGTTGCTGCAGGCTATAATAGAAGTTTTGTAAAAATTTTAGGTTGGCGATGTTGCATATGTTGATTTGTTCAATGATGATAATGGTAAGCCTAGAGGATGTGGTGTTGTAGTATTCACCACTACAGAGGCAATGAAGAAAGCTCTATCAGTCATGCATAGATATGAGTTAAATGGCCGAAAGCTTGTTTTGAAGGAAGAAATGGGTAAGTATAAAGTTTTAAGGGCTTTAGATTTACTTAAACATAAACACTCACGCCTGTCACCCAGAGGGGTAGGCAGAGACTACAGACTTCCATTTGGCACGATTCTGACACACCTCTCTTGCCTCCTTCACATCCATATACCTATGCATACATGCTCGTCGGTTAAGATTTACTACCCCTTAATATTAAAATTGGAGGGGGATGGAGGAAGAGGGGGGGAAATACCCCTTCTGCACTACCTGCTGCTGTAATCTTCCCACAAAAATATTATTTTGGGACAAAGTAGTTCACCCTAGGCTTAACTTGTTTTTCCTAATCCCTAAATGAATGAAATATTGAAATGAAAAAAAAAACTGAGTTTACAAGGGTTATAATCAGCATTAGGGGACTAAGCCCATCACGCGCAACAATTTTTAGGTGGTTTGCTGAATTCAAAAAGACTAAAATTAACCTTAAAAATGACCAAAGAGCTGGAGCCCCGCAAACAGCAGTAACGGCAGAAAATGTATAGACTAGTGAAATGTTGGTGCAAGAAGACATGAATCACACATAAGGACATCGAAAAGATAGTAAGCATTAGTTCGGGGAGAATTCATACCATCCTACATCAACATCTTGGAGTGAGGAAGCTTTGTTGTCGATGTATCCTTGGTTTGCTCTCTGAAAGCTAAAAACAAGCTCGTGTTGATTGGTGCCATGAAATGCGTCTACGATTTGAAAACGGGGCATCTAAGCGTGTTTCAGAAATCGTTAATGGTGACGAGAAATGAATCTATCAATATGATTCGGAAAATAAAAGGAAATCATCTGTATGGGTCTACTCAGAAGGACAGTTTCCTATCAAACTGCAAAGACCTCTCAACATCGTCAAAAAAAATGGTGGCTATTTTTCGCAAAGCGGACATTTGTCAACGTCAATGCTGGAAAATTGTAGGTCAGTCAACTCTAAATGGTACACTACAGTTGCATTACCCTAAGCTTTTCAAGCTGTGTGGGAGAGAAGACCAAAGAACGGGCTTAGGAGAATCGTGCTGCATCATGATAATGCCTCTTTACATACTTCCCTTAGAAAAAAAGCATTTATTGAGGAATTTGGTAAGTCACACGTCTACAGCCCTGACTTAGTTCCTTGTGATTTCTTTTTGTTTCCAAGAGGCAAAGAAAAAAGGCAAGTTTTTTTCAAGCGCCGAAAAAGGCGTGGCTGCCTATGAATAAGCGATTCTCAACCTGTCAGATCAAGACTGCCAAAAGTGTTTTCAGAGTTGTTTTAAACGAATGGAACTTTGTATAGTGCATGATGGAGAATATTTTAAAAAGAGATGCCTTGGTGGACCCACAATTATATATAGAAATTACAAATTGAAGTTATGATTTTTATTACAGGTAATGAAAGAAACAGACTTAGTTCTTCGAGGTCTGGTGGAGTAGGCAGTGGAAGAAATGTAAGAGATGATAAAGATAAGTAAGTGACAATTTAGTCTCATAATTTATTTAGCTGACGTTGTAATAAAGACCATACAAGTCTTTGTTTCAATTGCAGTTGTAATCATGACCATACAAGTATCAAACAGTTTCCGCTTGATGGTCATACTTATTTCTCCGTTTTTTATAATCTCTTAGACACCAATATTGTTTCCACGCATTCCCAATACATCTATCAATTTCTTTTGAAGTTGCATCTGTTGGCGAGATTACATGACCCAGATATACATATTCATTTTCATAGTCAATTTTGTTGTTGTTAACACATTTAGGTCTTTTCCAGGATTTTGCTCATTCATGACTAAACCTACTCTATGACTTACAGTCTAGGTCATTTGGCATTGCCTGCATTCCTGCCGATGGTGAGAAGATTATCAGATCGTCCGCGAATCTTAAGTGCGACAGATTTTCTCCGTTGATTGATAATCCACATTTCTCCCAATTCAAGTGATGGAAAACCTCCTCCAGGACAGCTGTAAAAAGTTTTAGGGTCGCCTTGGTGTACACCTCTTCCTATTTTTATTTCCTTGCCCACTCTTTCTAGTTGGATTCTAACTTTACTGTTTTTATATATGTTTTTTACTATTCTTAAGTATTTAATTTCGATACCCTGGTTTTTAAGCACTTGCCATCTCTTCATGTTCAAGTGAGTCAAAATCCTTACTGTAATCTACAAAACCATAGTAGAGGTTATATTAAATTCCTTACCTTTTTTGAATACTTGTTTCACCACATGTATATGGTCTAAACCTTTTTTTAAAACCTACAATAACATTTACTATTTAACACACAAATTAGATCATTATGATTTATCTTTGTGTATTACATAGAAATGTTGTGTTTCATAAAATAATTGTATCATCATTAATTCTTAATACTATATGGATGCAAACTGAATTGAAAAACCTCATGAAATTCATACATAATTATTGATAAAACTAATAATAAAAGCGAGTAAATTTAAAGCTCTTTAAACTGTTAAGTATTAAACTGACTGTGATAATTCAAAGGATACTAGCCATCTCGACAGGACAAAACTCACCTTCGATTTGCCGACGATATAGTCCTTATGGCAGAATCACTGGAGGACCTAAGCACTATGCTCAATGACCTCAATGGTGTCTCCCAACAGATAGGTCATAAGATGAACATGGACAAAACAAAGATCATGTTTAATGTCCATGTAGTTGTTGGGAGCACTATGCTCGAAGTTGTTGACGAGTACATTTACCTGGGAGAAATAGTCCAACTAGGTAAGTCCAACTTTGACCGAGAGCTCAATCGACGGATTCAACTCGGCTGGGCAGCGTTCAGGAAATTACGACACATCTTCTCGTCAGGTATACCTCAATCTCTGAAAACTAGATTGTACAACCAGTGCGTGTTGCCAGTGATGACTTACGGATCTGAGACGTGGTCCTTCACTGCTGGCCATATGAGGACGCTCAACGTCGCTCAGCGAGCTATGGAGAGGGCTATGTGTGGAGTTTCTCTGCGTGATAGACTCAGAAATGAGGATATCCCCAGTAAAACCAGAGTGACCGACATAGCCCAACGGATTAGTAGGCTGAAGTGGCAATGGTCCGGCCATATAGCTCGAAGAACCGACAACCGATGGGGAAGAAAGGTTCTCGAGAGGCAGCCTCGTACCGGCAGGCGTAGTGTAGGGCGACCCCCCACTAGATGGAGTGACGGCCTGGTAAGATATGCAGGAAGTCGATGGATGCAGGTGGCTCAGGACCGTGCTTTGTGGCATTACTTGGGGGAGGCCTATGTTCAGCAGTAGACTTGTGAAGGGCTGTGATGATGATGATATGGTCTAATGTCGCATAACCACTTCAAAATCCCGCTTGTTCTCTCGGTATGATTATTCTCTAGTGGTTTAGATATTCTGTTAAGAATTACCTTGGCGAACACTTAGAAGATATTTGACATTAAGCTAATAGGTCTATAATTATTTATATTATTCTTATTTCCTTTCTTGTGTAGCAGTATTGTGGTTGATATTGTCCACTAATCAGGTATTATCTCGCACTGCAGCACTTCATTAAATAGATATATCAGAATTGGTAAAAGATTATCTTTATTTTTGATAAAAACTCATTACTGATTCCATCTGAACCGGGAGCTTTATCTTTCTTTTGAGTTTTTACAACTTTTTCCACTTTTGCAGGTATTATATCTAGTACTTCTTCCCTGCCCGCTAGGTCTGTAGTTAGACTGTTGTTTTTATTTGCATACAACTCTCGGAAAAAGTTTGTGGCTATGGAGATAATTTCGGGGCTTTTGGTTTCGCTATTGCGATTTCTATCGTGATATTAGGTATCCACTCAATTTTTTCCTTCAATTTTTTCAATGCTTTTTTGATGCCTCTGGCCTTCTGGACACATCTTTCTAGTAATACCTGTGTCTTTGGCGGTCTCTTCTCACGTTAGATTTGATTTTCTTACTTAAGTTAGCTTTATCTCTCCTTGATTCTTTTGTTTTTTGGGCCATTGATGTTAGTATGGCTCTGTTTCTTAACAATTCTTTGGTTTCATTTGTTAGCCATTTTATCCCCTCTATTCTATTAGTAGGATTACTCTTTACTCCTGTAATTAATAGTTCTTCAAATATGTTGTATTTGATTTTAATATCTCGATCCTCTGTGTTTTCTATAAAATTTTCTGATTTTACTTTTAGCCTTTTAGTATTTTCTAGTATTGTAATGTTGGTTTGCTTTACCTTAAAAGGTCTGTTTCTCTTGAAATCTGGAGTCGAAGTTTGGCTCTGACCATTCTATGATTGCTGTTGGGATTTAGGTTATTTATGACTCTACAATCAGTGAAGTATTTACTCTTATTAGTTAGGGTATAATCTATCTCATTTCTATATTGGCAATATGGAGATTTCCACGTCCATCTGTTATTATGTCTTTGTTTGTATAGGCTTTTAAGTACTTTCAAGTTGTTTTCGTATGCCATTTGTATGAGTTTCTCGCCATTCCTTGTTCTCTTTCCTGAACAAAAAGGACCCAATACCGTCTCTTCACCATACCCTCAGCCTCCTGTTCTTGCATTGAAATCGCCAATAACTATAATTAATAATTATAATTATTGTGTGTATAATTTTTTATTGCTTCTGTTAGCATAGAGTAAAACGAGTCCATTTCAATACTGCTGGACTGTTTGGTTGGAGAGTAAATTTGTATGATTGACAACCTTGCGTTTTTGGGCGGTAATTTTAAGTTGAGTATAAAAATATGTTCAGATAACTATGAATTCGTCAATGTAAAATTTTAATTCTTTTTTTATCAAAAATCCCGTTCCACACTGACCTGGTGTGTTTCCTATAGAATATAAAATAAAATCGCCATAATCGTCTATATTCTGTCCCAGGCGTCAAACTTCACACAGTCCTACTATTGACCAGTGATGTGTTCCAATGTTAGTATCAGCTCAACCAGGCTTTCATTGTTTCTTAGAGAGAGAGAGTATTGTATGTTGCTATATAAATTACCTTTAGTTATATTGTTATTTTGACAAGGTGTTTTAGAAGAACATGTGCTTTAAGTTTGAGTGGGTCAGTTGAAGGGTACCACATACAAGATGATGGTGATGATGATAGTTATTTCATGTAGCGATAATAGCAATTATAACAATATTATAATATTAGTAATATATTTAATTAATTAGCGGATGAATGAACCGGAGAAGAACCACACTGTCACAAAATGTCAGCTCAATATGCTGCTGTGTTTTGTATAGTAAGTGCCAGAGACACTTTTTGACTAGAAACGAGGCTTGCCACTTTAGTCCCCAGGAGTGACAACGCATCTGCATTTTGATTCTTAATTTAATAAAGATGTGGATGTCTATAAGCCACTGCATCCACTTAACATCAGAAATGTGTGCTTGTTTGTCACCCAATTTCTATTTAAGAAAAAACATTCATAACACTTGTAAAAACTACTCTAATCTTTTAATTAGGAATGTGTTAGTCTGAAAGCTACTTCTATTATTTATGTCATATATTTTCAATATGCTCAATGTTTATATAATGTTTGTATAGGGTTACTTTGCAATATATGCCCAATTTTGCAGAGAAGGTTCAGAATAAGTAATATAAGTAATATGGTGAAGAAAAGTTAATTAAAAAAATCTGAAACATTCTGTCCTTTTTACCTATTAAATTCAGAATCCATGGTAATTAATTATTTTAACTGATTGTCCTTCATAAATATCTAACGCCTTTTATTTTACTATGCAAGCACACATTTGTAAGTGAATTGTTTGTTGAATTGAATCACACAGAGGAGCTTGTGTATGTATAGTTATTGCCCATAAATCACATTTAAATTGAAATAAATTCAAATAGAAGTAGAATATTTACTCGTATTTTCAAAAACTACAATAATGGTATATCAATATTATATATAAATATAAAATTTGGATTCTCTTTGTTTTAATGCATGGTATTTAAATTTACATTTAAAAATATATAAAATAATAGGTAATTCAGTATCAGCGCACCACCAATCCACTAGATTTCTGGCGTTTTACAATCCTGTCCATCCAAAGGCTGTCTGATTAATATCGCTATCACTATCTATTGCTATGGCAATATTTAGGGTTTACATATAGATTCCTCAAAAAATTGCAGTAGCAATTGATATACACATCATTTCTTGCTCTTGCTAAATTCAATAAGATTCATGGATGGAACAGGATCTGAGTAAGATGTTATTTAAGTATGTAAAATATATAAGGTACAGGTAACTAATTTCCATTAATGTTATATTACAGCTGGGGTGCCAGTAAACCAAGAGAGCCAGAAAATTTTAACACTTATGGTCTGAGCCTACAATTTTTAGAGTCTATCAATGTGCAGCCACCTTTGGTGAAGAAAGTGTTTGTTGCTAATGTAAGTGATGTTTTTATTTTAATGTTAAGGGGATATTCAAGCATAAGTGTGAAGAATAGGTTTTTAACTATCTATTGTTGCTTTGCATCAAAACAACTGAGCTAGATAACCAAAAGACACAACGGCAGTTGGGACTGATTATAAACCTTTGGTGAAGAAAGTGTTTCTTGCTATAATGTAAGTGATGTTTTTATTTTAATGTTAAGGGGATATTCAAGCATAAGTGTGAAGAATAGGTTTTTAACTATCTATTGTTGCTTTGCATCAAAACAACTGAGCTAGATAACCAAAAGACGCAACGGCAGTTGGGACTGATTATAAATTGTGAATAATTGACAAAGTTATCATCCTCTATTTCACTGTTTCCTCCTACAAAATTGGACAGATTCCCAATTGTTTTGGACAACAATATAAGAACGGTTGTGGTTCAATCTGTATGTTTTCTTTTGTCTGAATGCTTGGTAAGTTCTTGCTGAATGTCTCATAAAGGCATTATGGCTGGGCAGTAGTAAAAAAGAAACAAAACAAGAAAATGGCAGTAATAGCTTAGATTGTATTGTAAATTAATATTTGCTATAGGGTCCTTAATCATTATCCAGGGAAAAAATTACTTCTTCATTCTTTTATTTTTTAACCACAGGTCAATTTGCAGTAAGTACTTGTAAATAATATTCCTAAGATTGTTAATAATTATTACTATTGTATTTTAGCTGGATTATAAAGCTGATCGTGCTAAAATTAAGGAAGTGTTTAAAATGGCTGGGAAAGTCTATAATGTAGATTTAGCAGTAGATAAAGATGGTAATAGCAGAGGATTTGCAGTGGTTGAATATGACCATCCTGTTGAAGCTGTTCAGGTAAGTTTTCAGCTTTTGATACCATTGGATATTTTGACGTTATGTTATATATAGTGGAAGAGTGGGGTGGCAAATTTGCTTGTTGCTCAACACCCTGTCAAGATTACGCTTTTTTAAGCCTACTGTACTTCATTTTACTTGAGTAGTTTGTGGGTCAACTGTACTTAAAATTTGGATAAATCCCTGCAGTATACAATACAATAATATACATTTAGGGCATTGTTGGGGCTGCCATGATATTGCAGTGCCTCTAGCATGTTCGCACACGCAGGGGTAGTTTCCCGGCCATGCTGCAAAAAAAAGCCAGGCAATATTTAATAATTTTCTGAAGGCTATCATCGACAGTGGGGACTGTCCACTTGTCGAGTATGTGTGCAGGCTCACTTTAATCACTTAGGTTTAAGGTACTAACATTAGTTACAAAAGCTGACTGCCTTGTTGGTCTAGTGGTTGTAGTAGTGCGACTACTGATCATGAGGTCCCACTCCCGGGTTCGAATCCCGGGTCGGGCGAGAAAAAAATCAGTTATTGAGTTTTTCCATTAAGAAATTCTCAGTAGCTGTATGGAGTCAGGAAGATGGCGGTGTCTCACCCCCGTGCCTCGGAAAGCATGTAAAGCCATTGGTCCTGTTCCTGATTTCTCTTCAGTTGTGTCAGTTTACCGTCCCATCAGACTATAAGAGTAAGAGAATAGAGAGAGCACCTGTGCTTGCATATACACTTGGGCACTAGAATCCTGTCCTACGTGGATGGCTAGTCTACGTTGAGGCTGGTCGCCGTGACTGACGGGAATTCGGTATGGATTACATTGTTATTATTATTATAAAGGCTGATTTACACAGGGTCAGTAACAGGCGCCAGTGCTGGCACCGAAGACTGACTTATATTCCGTGGTTTACATGCAGTCAGTAGTTGTGATAACTTTTTTGGGGTGTATGCATATTATTGAAGTCAGTGGGCAAATATTAATTCACGGAAATGGCGGGATTTAGTAAAATTGAAATATTTGTTGAGAAAGTGTTTGAAATGTTTTCTTGAAAGATTTGATGCAAATGTTAGAAGAAGATATATCTAAAAAGAAACGACTAGTATTTTATCTACCTCTAAGTAATATGTTGACCTTTATAGCTTTAATTTTATTTTTAACTTCAGTAGGGCTTAACTAGCTAGGCTAGGGCTAGCTAACTTCGGGGGATTCCTTCTATATTCATTTGCTGAGAAATGTTTTGCAATGCTTTTGCACACATTTCACATCCCATAGACATTCATTTTCGCCATACAACTGAACCAATCTTAAGTTTTCGTTGTCGTTTAATTTTCGCGTCATTTTCGCTTGAATTTTTGATATGACGCGACGTCACCGTACGATGTAGCGCCAGTGACTGACCAAGTACTGACTCGGTCGTTTAGACAAGGTCAATACCGATATCAATACTCGCGTCGCGTCGATGTCGCAGAGGAAGTGGACTGACTTAAAAATATTCAAGCCGGAATATTGAAGTCAGCACTGGCGCGCCAGCGCTGTACTGACTCCAAATCAATTTACACTATGTCAGTATCGGGTCAGCAGTCAATACTGACTTGCCTGGAATTTGGAGCCAGTTACTGACGCTGTGTAAATCAGCCACTAGCCGCGCGTAAAAAGTTTGCTCATGACTAAACTTCCCGCCTCCGCCTATCGCATCCCGCGCTCGCCATGTTAGAACCGTTAACAACGCAGTCGTGCGCTCACTCATATTCATTCTTGTTAAGTTTTTGTTTGTTTATGTTAGTGTCATTTTTTATCAAAAAGGATAAGCTTATCGCAAAGCGAACATGTTATTGTTTTAAAAACTGTAACGGTTTTTAGAAGGAAAAACAAAAAGGTTCGCCTATAATAAATCTAAGTAACAACTACAAAGTTTTTTTATTAATAATTTTTCTTTTATTAACTTATGGCATTCGAAACCACTATTTTAGTAACATGTCTTCTTGTCAACCGTTCTAACCATAGACACCCAGAAGCCATGACTTCATCGGCAAACTTTGCGCGCAGTTAATAGGTCTTTTTTTTAATTTACTAACACATGGATTCTTGTTATCCGGGAAATAATTATTTTTTCATTTATTTTATAGTCATCGTTTCGTTAGAAAAAAAAGTATAAAGAAAACCTTTATATAATGTAGGTACCACTGTTGGACAAAGACCACCTCTCCTTTTTAAATTTTTATGGCAGGGACGTCTGCTGGACGAAATACAGTGTGTATTGAGGAACTCCGTAACCGAACCGAACCCTAAAAAAATCCAAGTACATGGATTTTTTTAGGGTTCTGTACCCCACAAAGAAAAATTGCTGCCTGTCTTTCAAAGTTCTTTTTTTAATGAAAGAGTAGAAATATTTGCTAAATTAAATATCAAATAGTAGACTGTGGCCTCTTGAGCAAGTCAATTCAGGTTATACATCAAAAAATCATAAGATGTGGTCATTTATGTAACATATTTTGATACTTCACTCATCAAAATCTGTAGGATTTTTCCTGTTCTAGATACATGACAATTGGCAAAGAGCAAGGTATCATGTAAAGGTGAAAATCCTAGTTTAAAGTTTTGAAAAATGTATATATATATATTTTTTATGGTATGATTGAAGTGAGTTTAACGGATATCTCAACTAGAGATTGCAAAATCCGGATTTTTTTGAATTCCGATTTTCTGAGTTTTCCTGTGATTAAAATCCGGATAACCCGGATTATCGAAAATTTAAGTTGATAAAACTGAAATAAAACAGTATAAATCATTTAAAATATGCATTTATTCAGACACGACGGAATAAAATCAACTAAAATAAAGAACAAAATACAGTCATAAACTGAAAGTAATATAAAATCAAAAGCAACAAAACGTAAGATATTATAAGTATCCATCATTTTTATAAAAGTTTAGTCTCAAAAAACTAATGTTTCAGGTCAGTTACAAATAAGAGAAGAAATAATTAATAAATTCCATTTTTATGACATTAACTTAGTTTATATATTAATCAGTCTTTTTTAGAAAACGAGATCTTAAAAACATGAAAGCGTCGAGTGTCTCATCGTGTAGACGTGATCTTATTTTATTACGAGGGTGACACTGAAAGTTCTTAGAAAATCAAAAACTGAACAAACTAGCAAGTTATTAGTTTTATTATAATTTTTCAAGATAGTGTCCATTTATATCAATACATCGCTGCATCCGATGGAAAAACTGAGAAAAGCACTTTGCCCACTCCTCTCAAGGAGTCTCTTCGACGGCATTTTAAACGCAGCTACTGTTTCCTCGGCGTCCATAAAACGTTTTTCTCAAAGTTTTTCTTTTATTTTCGGAAATAAATAAAAAACACAAGGCGCGAGGTTAAGGTTATATGGCGGGTGATACTATAATTCCACGTATGACGTCGCCAAGTAGTCGATCGTTTGCTTGGCGGTGTGCGACGAGGTGTTGTCGTGGTGAAGAAGTCTCCTACTGCGAGGTCGTTTCTCCCGAACTTTTTCTAAGACAAGTGACAAACAATTTTTAGTGTACCACTCTGTAGTAACTGTTTTTCGATTCTCTAAAACAATTGTTGCGTAATGAATTGTCCTCCCGAAGAACGAGGCCACCATCTTTTTCTCCACGCTTCGACCTCTCTTCACTTTAATTGGCAACTCCTCGGAAGGAAATACTCAGACTGCAGACTGTCTCTTAGTTTCAGAATCATAACAATAAATGCAGCTTTCGTCACCCGTAAGTATGTCGAACACAGCATTTGAGTCACCTCCGTTAAATCTTTGAACCATTTCACGACACCAATTAACACGTCGTAGTTTTTGGGCCTCTGTCAAATTATGAGGTATTAACCGGGCACAAGGCTTCCTGGCCGCTAAATGTTCTTGGAGAATTTTGTACACTTGACTCATACCAATGCCTAAGCTGGTCCGAATCTGCTGATAAGCCACTCTTTTGTCAGTCTCTATCATACGCCGTACCACACTGATGTTATCTTCAGCCGTGGCCGTAGAAGGCCGTCCCTCATGCAGATCATTGATGAGATTTGTGCGACCATGTTTAAACTCCTTAAACCAGTTGTAAACAGTGGCACGAGATGGGGCTTCATCGTGAAAGGCCAATCGAATTATCATAACTTTCTTGTTGACTTAAATGACATCGAAAGTTATAAAAAATCGATGTATAAAAAAATTTGTTGTTAAATTCATGCTGACGTAACACAGACAATTTTCAATTTGCCGCCAAATGACAATACAATTAAATACATACACAAAACTATTGACAAAGAGTTTTTTCAAAATTTGAACTTATTTTTTTATTATATTGTTTACAAGTGACCAGTTCTAAAAACTTGCTAGCTATGGAAAAAGCTCTTTCAGACTCAACACTGTTCGGCGTTATGGAAATCCGTTCAAAATTTTCTTTAGGATTTCTCCACGACCTCCACCGTTTTCAAATAAAGCCATTTCGACGTGAAACAGTTGCGCTGATTACACTCGTTGATTTGTGTTGATGATCACTACCCATACTTGCAAGAGAAAGTTGACGTTTGAGCTTTTCTTTAAAACTGAGCGGCGATGGATCAGAACTATGGCACAGATTTTCTGAAATAGAGTTCGCATTAGTCCACGTGGTCGTGTAATCGTCAACATCCATGGATGCAGCTTGATAGATCACGTTTTTAATTTCATCATACGTAGGTATTTTAAATGTGTCTTCTTCTTCCTCACTCTCATTTAAAAATTGATTAGGGTTGGGTAAGTATTGTAAGGCACCGACAATATTATAGAGTCGCCTCTCTATAATTCTCCATTTCAATGAAATTGCCAGTTGCCTGGCAGACATCATGTCTTGGCTGTCTAATGATTTTATTAAACATTTAAGAGCTACACCTAATCCTACCAATTCAAATATTGTTCAAATTTGCGTATTAGAGTAGGTAATACCTAACTACTCATCACTTAGAATGAAAATATGAACTCAATTTTGACTAAAATCCGGAAAAACCGGATTTGAGTTTTAAAAACCGGATTTATAAAACTAAAAATCAAAATCAAATATAAAAATAAAAATCCGGATTTTTCGATTATTTTCGAATTTCGAAGAATTCGGATTGCAATCTTTAATCTCAACTTACATATATGGGAATTAAATAGAAAGTTTTATACAATATTGGTAATAAAATAATAATAAAAAACTTCTTTAATCCATTAACTATGTAAGTAGTAACATGACACCTGCATGTACTTCTACTGCTGTGGTAAATCAATAGTGTATGATTATTTTCAGGCAATATCAATGTTTGACAAGCAAATGTTATATGACCGTCGCATGACAGTTCGAATGGATCGTGGTGTGTCAGATAAGACAGAAGTTAGGTTACCGGAGGGGTTGAAAGGAATTGGTCTTGGACTGGGCCCTAATGGGGAACCCTTAAGAGATGTGGCGAGGAATTTGCCTCAGACACCAAGTACTACAAACTTGAGCTTGGCTGGCACTCCAGGAATTGGTGCTGGAGTATTGGGCGCGGTGCCAGCTGCAGGCGTGGCATTAAATGGCCTTGGCACTGGACTCTCAGCTAATACACTTGGTACAAACGCTGCATTAGGAGGCAGTTTGAGCTTGCAGGTATTTGTATAATTTTTAATATTTATCTTTGCTGTCTGAAATAGAATTATTTTAGAATTCTCATATGTTCAATTAGGAATTTTTTCGCTGCTGAAAATTTAACAGTGTAAATTTAGGTTTTGAAAAGGCGTTTATTTCAATAAACATAAATATTTTTAAAAGAAATATAGATAGATCTTAATATATAATTTTCTTATTTTTTTTGAAATTTCAAAAAGCTAAATTTTCAATTTAATTTTTTAGGCTTTGGGTTTGACGGGTTTAGGGGCATTGCAAAATCAACTGCTGCAACAGGGTCTCACAGCCAACGACCTGGCTACTGTTCTGTCAGCACAAGCAGCAAATGTTAACACAAATAATTTGGGATTAAACACTACAGACTTGGGATCCAATGTTATGGGTAATTCCAATATGGGTGGCAATGTGCTGGGTGGCAATCCCAGTTTAAGTAGTGGACCACTGTCAGGTATATATTCTCTTCAAACATATTATCTTACAAGTATTTAACAAAGAATAATTTCTGCATGTCTGGTATTTCAGGCCCAAACAGACAAATGGGGAATGTACCAGTTCCTGGTCAGGGCTATGGTCGTGATACAGGAGTACAGCAAGGTGGAAGGGATAAAGACATGGTTATAATTTCTAATGTGAGTAGCATGCTAGGTATCACTTCTATACTACTAGTAAGGTCTTCTACTTTAACACTTTCACTGTCTGGTTTTCAGATACAATAGTAAGACAATAGTGATGACCTATATGTAGTGTATGGGACAGTGAAAGGGTTAAAGTAATACATTTAAAAACTCAATAGCATTGAAAATTCTCTCAAGTGAATGTTTTTTATTATTATTTAAAGAATTTGTTGAGAAAGTTTTAAATATTCATCATTATAATTACTGCATTTTACAAATGAATTATGTAGCTATAATAACATGCAATTAGGTGGAAAGGTTCTTGAGTGGCAACCAAAATGTAGGGCGAATGGATCTGCTTGATTGGGGAAAACCACTCTCTTACAGAATACCTGCTGTATGAGCTGCTGTGTTTCATATGCTGAATCACAAAATACCAGCGTAAGAGTAAAATACCAGCTTAATGGATCATTCTCCGGGTAGCCGAAGCCGGCATCCCACACGATGTGGTGCTTACGCAGTGTCCCTTTTAACGCAGCGGGAATGCCCTAAAAGTGCATGAAATATATCAATTATTAGTGTTAATATAAGACTTTCAATCTTTTTTTATTTCAGCTTCCATCAACAGTTTCTTGGCAATTGATTCGAGAAAAGTTCAGTGAGTGTGGCGATGTTAAATTTGCTGAAATGACAGCACCAGACACAGCAATTGTTCGTTTCCATAAAGAGTGGGATGCAGAGAGAGCAATAAGTATCCTTTAAAATCTGTAAATGTATAGGTATATAAAAAGAACTAAAAAACTAAAACTATTATTCACATAGTTTAGAAAGGGTCAAATATTCAAAACTATGGGAATAATATCATAGGTCTATGGAAATGGACATGCAGGATTTTAAACATAATGGGTACATTGGCATACTTCAAAATAGCATGTTATTCATTATGTTACTTTCAGTGATATATAAAACATAAGTTTAAAGTTACCCGTTTAAAGTACTACCATAAATTTCTTGTAATATTTGGCATTGTATGCCATGTTGATAGAATTTGATGCTGATAAGTACCTGATTGTAACTGATATAATACAAGATATATTTATTATAACATATTATACAGTTTCTAAGAAATTATCTCTTTTTTATATAGAATAGGGTGACAATCGAGCACACAGTCTACCTGATAGTAAGTGGTTGCTGTAGCCTGCAAAGCATGCAATTTGCCCTATCATATCTTAATGCATCCAGTAATTACTGGAAACTGATGCATATCAGGTTTGTGGTTGTTATTTAGCCTTAATTGCGACGCTTAGTAAGTAGACTATCGATGTTAGTGCTTGGCATCACTTAATGTAATGCTAAAACTTGTCACTTGTTGGGACATGAAGTTCAGGAGTAGTTAAATTGGATCTTCTGAATGCCATTTTTTTTTTGGAGTTTCATCCTGGCAGAGTTGTTAGGCCGCCGCACACATGGCTATTTTACGGATGGGACGTAAGTACGGCGAATGAAAGAGAGAGTTAGCAGTATGTATTGTTCATTGTAATTTATTGGCCGAATGTAAGAAAGGATATTAAGAATATAAGATGGAGAGAAACTGGTTGGAGCGCTAGATGATTAAAAGGTGAAAAGGTTTTGTAAATTGGAAGGTTGTAATTGGGTTAGCTAAAATATTTTTTTTAATAGTTTAATATAGTTTTCTTTAACGTCTCAAAATTTATGAAGTTTTTTGGCCTTTATCCAAGAACACTAGAAAAAAATATTTGCTTTTCGGCTTAAAAGTAAAAGAAAATGATAGTTTAACATGCCACTGCAGCATACCATCATAAAGTTCTAAGCATTTCTGTGGTAGAAATATGTTTTTTTTTTGCATAATTTTCCTAACAAATATTTCAGAAATGTTTGACAGGACTCGTATTGATGGCAGGACAATTGACGTTCGCTTCTACTAAATGTGACGTCATGCAATGCAGGTTTGTTCATTACTTTATTGTGTTTTTATGAATATAATACTTAAATTATTAAAGTACATTATGAAAGATGTCTTGAAAAATATTGTACAAAATATGTGAATTTTAAATTACAATAATTTTCTTTGAAATGAATCAATTCAATTATTATTTCAATTTGTCGTCCTTTCTATAAACTTCTATTCTTTCTAAAAATCTTCAACAATCCATATTTCTAACATATAAATCATAAACTTACGAAAACAAAATTTATTATAAAATATTACGATAAGAAGTTCAGGCGGCTTGCGTAAATTTACGAGTTAAATTATACATAATTTTAACTGATCAGTGATATCCAGATTGATTTGAATTGATTGAGAATGAAATGACAGGGGATTTCAAAGAAAACGAGTAGTAGTAAGGCCTTTCTAATTTGGCCTTTCTTAATTGTTGTTGCTGGTCTGTAGTGTAAAACAATAGTCTTATCAGAAACTTTTTTATTTAAATTTAAACTCATTTTCAAATTTACGAAATTCAAATTTAAACTTTAGAAACAATTTTTTTTGCATAAAACTAGTAACTGAATAATAATACTAAAACCCAGATCTTCAAGAGCTCATTTACCCAGTTACTGGATATCCAGGCAATAAAAAGTATTCCACTGATAATAGGGATAGTAACAGAAAATGACATAAAAAGAAACACATTAGTTTAATCAACCGCAATTGGCTCCTTGGAACTGGTTAAACCTGGGTGTAATCGCACTTCGGTTTTTAGCCATGACACACACAAAAAAAAGTAACAGTATTGATTAAAAAAGCGGTCTAGGTGCGACCCGCAAGGTCCACACGACTAACTTCCCAGTGGAATGAATAAAAAAATATGTCTTTTAATATTTATTACAATCTTTCATTCGGCACAAAAAACGACTTAACCGATTTTGCTCCAAATTTAATAAGTTACATAATTATGCGTTAAATGAAACTGGTCTAATGTCAATATCACTCTTTGTTCTCGATATACACGAAGCGAAAATTGAATCCGAACATACATACATACGTACTTGTGCACACATGGACATCCTTTAAAAACCACTATTCAACTCTTAAAGACCTTGAAACATGGAGATATGTTAAATTTCCAATTTGTAAAATCGGACCCATTACACAATAACTTCCCACTGGGAAGTTAATTATTGTACTCCCAGCAATTTTTATAAATTGCCTGCCTATTATGGTACAAGTACACATAACATTACTTAAACGTATTAATGAAGTATTCTTAACAAGGCTTCTGTGTAGAGCATTGTATGGAATGCATTTTATTGAAATTATTTTTAAGGAATTTACACAAGTCGCCCAAAGTTTTTTGATTTATATTGTTAACTAATTAATTTTTACTCATTTTTCTGTCAGTATTATATTAGTTAAGTATCGGTTATTAATTTTATAGTGATATCTCTGAAAATAAACTTTGCATAAGTCACTTTAAGCGCATTATTGCAATACACTGATGATGGAATGATTTCTAGGCTTATCAGAGTTTCTTAATGGTCTATATCTTATTGTATGTTTTGACGGACAAGTATTTATATACACACTGTTCATTTTATGATAAATGAACTGAATTCCTTTGAATGATACTGTCGATGTTTTATATTTTATTCAGTGTTGATCAACTCTGGGATCTTTTATTTTTCATGTTGGGTGTATATTTTATATTCAAGTTTGTACTGCCCAATCTTTTTTGATTATATCTACAACAGTCTTTGCTATGTTTAAGCTGGAATTATGTTGGATCTACGAGTATGTGCAGCTCAAATTGAGGAAACAACTGAACTAATTTCTAATCCATGGGACAGTTCGACTTTTACTTAACCTCTTAAGCCTAAACGTTATCTTAGGCCATTAGACTAAGATTTCTTCAGATATACAATTGACTGCTCGCGTTAAACTAAAAGGATAGTTTTTTAAAATCACTATGGTGAGGCAGATGCAAGCATTAAGTTAATCCAATTTTAATTTAATGCACTTTATATCTCTTAATTATCGCAAACTTGACTACAGCTACAATTGCCACATGACAATGTTTTATGAAAAAAATTAAAAATGAACTGAAGTGTTCTTTTTTGAACATTGTTTTATATTGTTGATTATGGCAATTATTTTTTTAATATTTTTATTTTGATAGCATCACTGTCATATAAGTACATCACTGATCATATTGATCATTTGTTGTTGTTTATTTTAATGCAGTTATTCAATTGTAAATTGTTTGTTGGGAGATCCAGTTTCTATCTACTGCTGTTGGGCGCGGCTGGTCAATAAACCTTTGTAATTTTTGTGTTTTCAGGAATATGGTATCGAAGTCGGTCTGTTGATCTGAAATCAGCTTGTCATCTTCGTCTTTACTCATCTGCTGCTAACGTGTCTGAGTGCTTGGTTTTAGTAGACTTTGATCCATTGACAAATAATTGTATCTTAGATTAGTATAAGTGTCTCCATTTTTCTTGTACATTATAAGGTTTTAATGAATAAATGTTTAAATGGTAAAAAGGATGATGATCATGTTCTTATTATTCATATTGTCGTGGAGGTCCACTGAAGAGAATCTTTCAGAACAAATGTTTAAGTTGTAAAGGCAAGTATTTTGTTTAATAACATTCATCTTAAGTAATTAAACGGAAACTTAAATCCTTTGACGGTGTGTTAATATTTTGAGAATCCAACAACTGGAATTTTGTGGCCTTATTATGATTGAAGGGGAATACAAAGTGAAGTTGTCACAATCTTTCTTTTTGGTAATCTATGGGAATATTTTGAAGTTTATTGGAAATCAGCTTTGATGAAGACTATCTCCAATATTAAGGGTTTTTAAGTTTCCAATTTGATTTTGAATCGAATGCAATACTTGATTTACGTAAGTAGATCTATTGAAACCTGATGGAGGTCATTTTTCTCGATAGACTTCATGGGTGGATTCGAATTTAAGTGATTATGTATGTAGTGATTATAGATAAACCCGATTGATGTCTAAGATGAAGTTGGTGTATTAGTGAATTGTGTTCAATTTGGCAATGACTTCTGAATTGGTCTGCCTTTACTTTAAACCATCACAGCAAAGGTACTTTTGTGTAGCAAAAATGATTCTCCACTTTTTTCTTGTGTACTCATAAAATACAGTAGGTAATAATAGCAACTGGATTAAATAATGTGAGAAATTTATTAAAAATGCAATTTTTTTTGGTATTTCCTCCCACTGGTTCTTAAGTAAGTTTGAAAAGTACATTATCAGTACTTTAAAAAGGATTTTTAAGACGTTATGCATATTTTAAATATTTTTTTTGAGACTTATTTTTCACAGTAAGAGAAATGTTTCTTTGGAGGTTGTCAATCCCTTCAAAGTTTATCAGAATGGTCACATTCTTGTACGTGGTAAGTTTTCAAGTTATCGCATAAGGATTAATTCTTGTTTGCAAAGGATTTGAATGGATTTAGAAATGTTTTCTTTAAGCTCCGTGAATTACGAATTCTTGTGTATTGTTTGTTTTACAATATTAATTTGTTTTATGATAAAATATAGATCTGTTGATTGATATTTGCCAATCTTGGTGTGTACTGTGGCTGAAAATTTTCTCTCATCATGAACTGGCGCTCTGGGAATTTGGTGCCATTTCTAAAATATATTTTTGACATATTAATCTGACTTAATAAAGAAATATTAATTAAAATATTAGATATCTTCGAGGTAATATTCAACTTGATGGATGTTAATTCTGTGATAAGTTTATAACATCAAATAGTAAAGCAAATATATTATCAGGCAATTTTTAAAATTAAGCTTTGTCAGGATAATGGTGTCCACCTTGTCGATTTTGACCGCAATATGACTACAATGCATTTTTAGAATTCCAAAATTGTATGTGCAAAATGCAAATATTTAGGTGCTATCGCATTTGTATCTTCATTTTATGTTTACGAGGGGTGATCAAAAAGTAATGATAATAAGTATTAAAAACGGTGATTATAGTTAAAAAACTAATTTATTTTTCTATGTAGTCTTAACAATCAATGCATGTTGTCCATCTTTTTTCTAAAGCTAGAATTTCCTTAGAAAAAAGGATATCTTGACCCTTCAAAAGTCTCAACAGCGTCCATCACTTATTGTCTGTAAATTTCTTGCCTAGAAGGTGTTCCTTGAACCGAGGAAATAGAAGTCTGGGAGATAATTCTGACTAATAGGCGGGATGTTCGAGTAGTTAAAATCCCGTTTCATGAATGGCAGCCATTGCAACTGCGCCTTAGTGAGCCAAAGCGTTATCTTGGTGATACAGTACTTCAGCTCCTCGGTTTGCCGCGTCCTTTTTTCTTAATAGCCTCCCGCAATCTTCTTATTAGGCCTGTGCGCGCAGTAAGAGCCCGAAATAGTGGCCCTTTTTCAAAATAACGTAATCATATTTATACATAACAATTTAAACAGCAACCGTAGCTGTTGTACGTATGGGCCGGCTCGAACCGAGATGGTACCACGACCTCAAAGAAGACCATCGTGAAGTAGTAGCTTTGCTTCTGCATTTCGTCTGGTGAGTGCAGGTGGCCGGTGGTACAATACCCCCCTAACCCCTTATAATGGCTGTGGACTTAAATAAAACTACCCTAGGAGGGTACCAGCACCCCCAATGACGGACAATCCCTCGATGAGCATCCACGCCCAAGCTACCCTACTCTTCCTGAGCGTGGGTGCTCAGGCTGCCTCGCGTATTCTGGAGGAGGTGAAATTCCGCCCAACACTAAATCTGCTCGGGAAAACGTAGCAATAAGTCAAAATCGCCCCCTGCCACGCTATCTGTGAATTTCTGCAAGGGACTCTTTTTTTCAGGGGACTTCATTTAAACTTTAACGTCGTCCACTACCATCTGGAAACGGCGAAGCCGACTTTGCTCTTTCTAACCGAGACACGGATTTCCCTTCCAGCTGATATCGTATATTTCCTACCTGGGT